ATCAATGTCACTGTGTCCCTACACACTTTTCCCTCACACTTACAATCTACAGATATTAAACATTTTTTCTTTGCTATTTCCTTATATTAATATACTCTCACCTTATTTTACTCAACCTTATACTTTGACCACTTAAGCCTTGAAGGGATTGATTTTACATTGCTAATTTATAGTTTCTGAAAGAGCAACCTCATTCAAAGTCTGCAGTTCTGTCACAGTCTATACAAGCGTATCTGCACTGATATTTCTATTCCAGCGATGTCCCTGCAGAAGACCTTTTCCTAGTACATACAGCTAGTGACTGAAAGAAATAATGTACCACAAATTTTAAATTGCCATTGCACCGCAGGTGCAGCTGTAAGATAGGGAAAGGCAACAACATTTGAGCGTTTTACTATAAAATAACATAATCAAATTCTAAAATCATTAGCCAGCAACTGAAATCCAGCTTATCTCCTACAAGCGAATAAGAAAATTTAACTTCTGGTAACAAATATTTCCATGTTTCCCAGACTATTTTTTTCTTATACATGGACGAGAACTGCAGTAAATTGATCTTAAAATGCTTGTGGACAGCTCTTTACACTTGAGCAGATTCTGAAATGAACCTTTTCAACTGTACAATAGTACCTCTTCATTTGGCAAGCGAGACTGGTGCTGAGTAAACTACATTCACCGTTCTTTCAGCTCGTTAGGTTCCAAGCATGGAGAGCAGAAATGTTCAGCAGCCCCAGCTCTCACAAAGGAGGGTACTGTGGTCGGGAACTCACAGACAGTGCAAGAGGTTTCCTGCCAAGAGGGAAATCCTGTGCAAGGCTGAGTGAAGGCACTTGGAGCTCCTGACTTACCTGGCACCCTCAGGAGCGCTGCCAGCGGGATGCGCAAATAAGCAAGAGAGTTAACTTGGCGCTTGAGACATGAGAGACCCAGATGTGCTGTTAGCATGAGAAGACAACACCCAAGTGGTGATGACTTGCTACAAGACACAACCCCTGCCCCTGCTGTCATCCGCAGTGCTGTGGCAACCTCTGTGCAGATGGACCCCTGAGGGTGACCTCCCTGGAGGGAGGTTTGCTCTGTTGTAGCTGTCGCAGCAGCACATGAGAAGCTGCAAGAAGAGGCAAGTGTGTTTTATTGCATCAGGGGTGGCAATCGGGGGATTGACAGGATCCTTCAAGGCTAAGTGTAAAGGCTTATGCAACAGACAGGGAAGGTGCAACCGAGGCAAGACGCAGAGGGAAGAAGACGTGCACTCCTAGGAGGATGGAAACTGAGAGCTTGTGACTTCTGGCAGCAGGAGGGCTGCCCAGCGGTGCAGGGCCCAGGCAGCAGAGGGGAAGAGCAAGCTCCCTCAGAGGAAGAATCCAGGTTGGACACCATATCAGAGCACTACCAAGAGACAGTGATGAGTGGCAGTGAGCGGTTGGTGATTCTCTTCCAGCCAGACTCATCAACTAGGGAGGTTTCTTGCTTGCATGGAGCCTCAATTCGTAGAGTTGCTGAAAGACTGTCTGGGGTCACCTAATGTTCTGACTTTTTTTCTGCTTATTCATACATACACCAATGACACGGTGATGTGAAATCATTTGCGTTCAAATGCGACTGTAGGGCTCCTGAGCAAAGGTGTAGGGGACAGGAATTCTGGTGGTGTTTCTCTTTAATCCTATAGCAAAAGGGAAAAGTCTGGATAGCAGTAGATGTACCCAGCAGACCACATATTTTGTGGCACTAGCTGGGCTTCCACCATTTTTCTTGTGGCACCCAATTTGATGAGGAAACACAACTTAGAGAATAGGTCTACCTGCCAAAGAGAGGCAAGAACATCTTTGTGAACAGACTTGCTCATCTAGTAGGGAGAACCTAACCCAGAAATACACAAGGAAGCAGCACATAAGGACAAGGTATGCGGAAGGTCCACTTGGCTGAGTAAAGAGCTTCTTAATGAACTAAAATGGGAAAAGCACATATGGAGATGGAAATGGTGGAAATGCAGAGCACATATGTGGAAACAATGACAGGAAACAAAGGACAAGCACACAAGCATTGTTTGGGCACAGGAACAAAACTAGGAAGGACAAAACCCAGCTAGAGCTAAAATTAATGGGCGACATTAAAGGGTAACAAGAAGGAATTTTACAAGTATGAGAGCAGCAAAAGGAGGTTCAAAGAAAATCGAGGTCTGTTGCTTACTAGGGGAGGTAAGATAAAGATACAGGATACAGAAAAGGCTACAACACTCAATACCATTTTTGCCTCTCGCTTTTTAGGCCAAGTCTGCTCCCAGAACTTCGCATGTACAGTTTGGGAAGGAGAGGGATGGCTAAGAGTTGGGGAGGCAATAGGCTGGTGAATACCTGAAGAAGCAGTATGTGTTCAAATACATGAGGCCATAGGGGATACAGCCATGAGTGCAGAAAAAGCTGACAATGTAATTGCAACACCACTGGCTATCATCCATGAAAAATCACTGCTATTACAGGACATCCTTGATGACTGGAGAAAGGTCAATTTTTCAGCCATATTAAAGAAAAGTGAGAAGGGGATCTAAGAAACTATACAATGATTGGCTTCACCTTAGTCCTTGGAAAAATCGTGGAGCATGTCCTCTTGGAATCAAGTTCCAACACACAAAGGACAAGACAATAATCGAGAAAAGTCAACAAGGATTTACCAAGAGCAAATCACGCCTGACCAGTCTGGTTGCCTGCTATGATGAAATGACTGGCCATGCAGATGAAGGAAGAGGAGTGAATGCAACATATTTTTACTTCAGTTAGGCTTCTGACACTTATTTCCAAAAGCATCATCATTTATAATGTGACAAAGCGTGGGCTGAACAAAAGGATTGCAGGTGGGCTGAAAATTGGTCAGACCCTCAAGCTCAAAGAGTCGAGTCGATGGCTTGATGTTCAGTTGGTGGATGGAAATGAGCACAGTAACCAAGGGACTTCTATGAAGATACTGTTCAGTATCTTCATCAACAGCCCATATGAGGAGACAGAATGTACACTCCATAGATTTTCAGATTATGCAAAATCAGGACACATGGCTGCTGTGCTGACCGGTAGAACTTCAGTTCAGAAACACCATGAGATGCTGGAAGCCTAGGCAAAAGAAACCTTTCTGAAGTTTCTGTTTTAGAAACTTAAGTAAGTGCAAAATTCTGCACCTGAGGAGAAAAAACCCCAGACAGGGAGGGAACTTGCTATGTTTCAGGCCTGCTGAAAAGGATCTGCAGCCTACAGTGGCTGCTGAGTTCTTTATAAACTAATAAAGTTCTCTTATGATGAATAATGTAAACAGTACACTGGGATACATTAGGAGGAATGTGGTCAAAAGATACAGGAAAGTCATTATCCCCCTCTACTCAATGCTTGTGAGCCCTCACCTTGAATAATGTTTTGGGCCTCCAGTTCAAGAAGAACGTTGAGAAACTGCAGAGAGTCCAGTGCAGGGCTACTGTGATGGTCATAGGTCTAGAGGACAGGCTGAGGGAGCTGGGCTTGTTCATTTTGGCGAAGGGGAGCCTCAGGGAGATGCGCTGGCAGCCTGCAACTACGTGGAGCTACAAAGATGATACAATCAAACTCTTCCCAGCAGGGGCAGATGATACAGAAGGGACCATGGCCCAAAATTGTCTGTCGGAAGGTTCAAATTGGTCATTAGGAAAA